CATTTCCCTTTTAATTTCCTTACTGCAGTTTGGCCCAGCTGTCAGAATATCAAGACATTCTTCTTTCATTAATTTATTTTATCTTTAATTAAAACATCATTGCATGTGAGAAAAGTTGCCGTGGAGATTGTGTAGGGTTCTGAAATTTTTGGTATGCCTTTGAAGTTTCTCTGACACATGGGCTTTGTGACGCAGATGCTGGGAGATGTTTGTGTGGCGGGCGTTCTGAGAACAGTGTAGCTAACTGGTCTACCCTTTCAGTAAAGACAGTCATTTTCACATAGCTTAGATTTGAATTAGGGGGAATTGTTCCTTCCTTCTTTGATTCATTAGTGTCTTTAATAGATACCCTCATTAATCAACACATTGTGAGGAAACTAACCTGTCTTCACAGAGCTGGCCAGCCTTCCTAAAAGGGATCGTATGATGGGAGGCCTCATCATGATAACGTGATGCAGGAATTAAAGAAAAGACCCGATTTGGCAAAGTCAGCTGTTCTTTGGCAGCAACGGGATTTTTCCTTAGCAGAAGTCTAGAAAGCAACAAACAACATGTTCAGCTAATTTTCTCTGAGCTCCCTGAAGTCTGTATTCAGGGTTTCATTCCCACAGTGTTGGTATCTCCAGAGGAATCTGTTAGATCCCACACCAGTGGGATCAGTGAGGGTTTCATACCCAGCCAACCTGGAGATTCTTATCTTAGCAGCTGCAAGGAAACTTACTGAAAGAGTTCAGAGGAAGAACGCAGTGCCTCCCTCAACCTGGGTTTGTGCAATTTGCAACTGTGAGGCAAGGTGAAACGTTTCAAGCTGGTTTTTGTATGCTTTCCAGTATCCAGATGTCTGTCACTGTGAATATGAAATACACAAAAGACTGACTAGGAATGGAAGACTCTGTGTGGTGTTTGGTGCCTGTGATGACAAGTGTGTTTGGGGGGCTTCTTTCTTCATCTCCCGACAAATCCCGTCACCTAACAGGTTTTCTTTTAAATGAAAAAGCATTTTTCTACAAAAGACCTACTCTACTCAATAAAGTACATACTCAGTGTAGAGCACTTTATTTGGATTATTTGTCTACACTTCAAAGAGATCCTGTGAGTACCATCCAGAAAGGTGAAATAACTTTTTCAGAGAATGGATTTTACCCAATCCCACTAGCATGCTAATGTTCTCACTTTTCCAGTCTGTCATTTCCTAGAATACTCCAACAGAATGAACCAGAACTGTCCACGATGCCATAGGGCGTGTCACTGTGGTTCGTGGTTCATTTGCTTTAGTTCACAAGCCGTGTCTCCTTTCCACAGCTGACTTACCCATCTGGTGGTGTAATGTGTCTGGCACATTCCACACAGCATCTCATGGTTTGGAAAGGCCCTTCAAGTCAAGCAATGCAGTTGTGTCTTACTTGAGGTTCTCAAATATGTGATCAGTGTAGAGCAGTAGTTAGTTCTCAATCTGTGGTTCCTGACCCCTTCGGTATTTGAATGTCAGATACCCTGTATATCAGATGTTTACATTGCAACTCATAACAGTAGCAGATTTGCAGTTATTAAGCAGCAACAAAATAATTTTATGGTTGGGGGTAATCACAGCATGAGGAGTTAGAAGGGATTAGATGTCTACATACTGTCTCCGCACCTCTACCCATCACTTCAAACCTTTCTTTGTTTATTCAGTCAAGGAGATGGTATTCCTAGGAACAACAATGGGTATGGTGATCTACTGCTTATGATCTAATAAAGCCATTGAAGATCAGAATGTAAAGCCAGCCACACTAATAAGCCATAGAGGCCAGGCAGGGGTGGTAAACACCTTTTAATTCCAGGACTCAGGAGCCAGGCAGATGGATCTCTCTGAGTTCAAGGCCACCCACATCTACATGAGAGTGAATCAGCCTAAAGGAGTAACAGAGCTCACCCCTTTAACCCCAGCACTAGAGAGGTATATAAGACAGGAGGTCAGGATCGCCCCAGGCCTGGTAGAGGTACGAGCTTTTTGGTAACTTGGCCGTTCTGTTTTTCCCATGAGGAGCCCAGTGCAATCTCAGGCAGCAGTCTGAGATTTGGCGAGGAGCGGGGCAATCTGTGGACGCAATCCGAGTTTTGGTTTGAGCATTGGTAGAGGTGAGAACTCTCCAGTGGCTTGACTACTTTGCTTTTCAGATCTTCAGCTTTAACCTCAATATCTGTCTCTTTTTTTATTATTCATGCTACAAGTGGGATATATAGTCAGTACATTAGCTTAAAAATTTAGTGATGGCACTAGTAAGATATGGAACTAGTAACAGAGAACACGATGGGAGGAGACTTCCTGTAAATAAACAACTTTGCAAACTTCCCAGGGCAGGCAATCCTGGTTTTGCTGGGAACAGCCAGACAGTAACCATCATCACCACCAGGAAAGTCAGAAATACATGGAGGACCTCAGGACTCAGGATGTGTTGGAGACCACAGGGGATCGTGTTTTTCTTTAGAGTGAAACAGGAGGCCTTGATTTGACACGGTTTAAGTATTGACGTTCTTCCCTGTTTTGTAGGCAGAGGCACCTGGTTGCAGGTGTGTGTGTGTGGGGGGGGTGGGCAGGAACACACAATGAGAATGATATTTTCTACTTTCTGTTCTGGGAAACTCAGGATGTGCTAAGCCAGCCACATTATGAATTCTATCATAGACCAGGTTTTATGGAGATATTTTACTTGTGGACTCCAAATATAAAACAAAGTAGTGACAATAACATCAAAACTTCTGGGTACCCAAAAATCAGAAAAACAAGTATTTATAACAGTTGCTCACATGGTTGTCACTCCCATTCACCACACCCACTCTACTTCTTCCCCTCCGTAGTGAATCCCTTAAGGCATCAAATAGCTCATTGAGTTGTAAAGGAAAACGCTTTGGTGGAGGAGGAATACAAATAAGCTTGACCAGGAAATGTTGATATTCTCAAGGACTCCACATAGTAATACTAAAAATAGCAACACACACAAATGTATGCGTGGGGGTGGAGGGGGGACTTGGCCTGCTTAATGCATTTCTTGCAAGCCGCTGCCTTAACCTTAAAGATGCATGCATTCACTCCCCACACCCTGTGGCTTTAGAAAGCCCCATACCAGGCCTAAGACTGACTGTCCTCAATCCACATACCGTAATTCTTGTTGGTGGGGTTCTGCTAAGTGTGATTGAGAAGCAAGGTTTGTGATTGCGTGGAACTGACCAAAAGCCGCAATTTTGCCTGGCTCTCGTTGGAAAAACTTACTATGCATGTGCCCTGAAGAGCGTTCATTGGGTTTGAAGCCATTGATAGCTACGGAGTGCTGCTCTTCCAGCCAAGGACACACGGAAGAACCTTCCCTCCCTGTTCTCCTTGGCGAAGGCCAATCCATTCTTCTCTGGCATTCTCTGTGGCACCAGAACAAGGGACAAAGTTTCCGTCTGGATGTGCCAGCTAGTGTGGGGAGTCCAATTGACCCCAGATACAAGCAAGGCTTTGCCTGTCTCTAGAGAAAGGGTGCTGCCCAGCAGAGTGGCCAAACCCGACTTCCATGGCAAAATACCCATCCCTAATTAATTTTTCTGCTTCTTTTAGAATAGACAGGTTAAGCAGTCTGTCACGTTAAGTAAATAAGAAATTACTCGCAGTAACATCCACAACATTCTAATCTTTCCATTCTGAAATGTTTTAAGTCTTTGATCCGCATTGCTGGGGGAAGAGCATCGGATGGGACTAAAAACAGACTTCATTGCAGATACAATCCTGCCACCTACCCATGGAGTGTCTTGGGGGAAGTCTTTTAATCTACACATCTCAATTTATTTCTAGGGATAAAGAGTGTAGCAAGCCATGGACTCCAGGACTGTGATAAGCACCCTACTATGTAAATGCCGGGGAATGCGGAGGTCACACAAGAAGCACTTGATGTAACTCACTTAATAAATGCAGAGAGTTCAACCTGACACCAGCATGGATATGATCTTGTTTAATGAGAAATTTGTCCCCTCTATCTTCTTTCTGTACATTATTAAGAATTAATAATACACTGCAATTGTTTAATTATAGCATTAAAGAGGTTTTATTTTCTTCATTAAATACATAAGGAAAAGCTTTTCAATTAAAAATGACCTTTACAACCCCTACTGCTTTGGATGCTGTAGATGGGAAGCTGACTGCAAATTAGATTCTTCTGGAACCTTGTTCCTTGTTCACCCCCTGATTAGTTTCATAAACTTGGTAGTGGCTGCCAGTTGCCTTCAGCTTGCAATTTTGTAGCAATCTCAGACTCCCGTGTTCAATCCCCCAAGGTGCTCTGTGGAAATGCTGTCAGACTTTTCAGATGCATGTGTTCTCCTCCTGTAGCAGAGCTTTGTACTCATTTAAGAAAACTAGTCTTTAATTTGTAACAGAACTGTTTTTTCAAAGTGAAACAAGGAATTTCAGGCCTCAGCAAAATCACTGGCGTATGACCCCAGCCTTCTGTTCCTGTCTCCTCCCGCTGCCATCTCTTGAACATAGGACTGTGTTTCTGAGTCTTGTTCTGGAATCTCACATGGGGTAACTGGCTTCAGGTTTCCCTGTACCATGCTCTAACTGTCACGAAGTTCATTCTCACTGGCCATCCCCGGATTGTCTCCACAGTCCTGTTGTTTGTTCGTCTCTCCTGCTCCCCACCTCTTGCCTATTTGTTCTTCTGTGAAGATGGCTCTCTCAGAGGGCTGCCTGTGCAACTGTGACTCCCACACCCTCCTGCACATCTCAGATAGCCCATCTTCTGTAAAACCTTGCTATAGCCATCCTCGATACCCTCTCTGGGCCAGAGGTCCCTAGGTTTCTTATACTCCTTGTCAAATTTCATCTATACATCCAATCCTCTGTAGCGTCTCAAAAGACTTCTTGCCTGTCCGTGTTACCAAATGGCAGCTTCTAGAGAACAAAGACCATGCACATTTCCTGTTATAAATAGGGGTTTTATAGCAGTTTGTTGATAAGTGAATGTCCTGTGGGGGAAAAAAACCTAGTCAACACCTTATTGGGAAAAAAACCAACACAGTTTTGTCAGTGAAATCTAGTATCAGTCATACATTGATGACAGCAGCTGTTCGGTACAAGGAGCTTATATCTTATAAACTTAAGTTCGTAGTAGATTTTGAAAAGCTTGATCCTGAGCAGATTTTCTTAGGGTTATCAGCTTCGTGGTGCTCTTATGCTTTCTATAGCTGGTGCATTTTACCCAGCGTTAGACCGGCTCAAAGGTGTCTCACTCAGACCTCCTCTACTCCTACAGGCCAAAGAAACTTCATCTCGTGTAGAAGAGTATTGTGTGGACTTTGTTTATATTTAGTAAGCATTGTGTAAACAGAGAGAGCGGGACGAGAGTTCGGCTCTGACCTGAAGCACAGGCATATACATGCACAATAAATTTAAATCTCACAGAGAGAATTACACTGTGCATCCGGGATGGATGAGCATCCCTAGCTTAAGATTTCCTGAATAGAGCATGCTACATCAGATGATCTGTGGCTATTCCCTGTGCAGAAAGGACACACAGAACAAAGATATTATAATTCATTCTCATTTTGATTAACAGTTCTATCTCTCTCTCTCCCCTTCCCCTTCATGCCCCCTCCCCCTCCCCTTCCCACTCCTTCCCTTCTCTCCCCTCTTTTTCCCCCTCCCCCTGGCTCTCACCATTTAGGTGTTATCTGGAGGATGGAGCTTCAAAGGGTGCCTGGCTCAACAGGTCAAGTATCATTTTTGCTGGAGGTGACAAGTGGTCAGTGGATCCTCGAGTTTCCATTTCCACACTGAATAAAAGAGACTACAGCCTCCAGATACAGAATGTTGATGTGACAGACGATGGCCCCTACACCTGCTCTGTGCAGACCCAACACACGCCGAGGACGATGCAGGTTCACCTAACCGTGCAAGGTGAGTGTTTCCCGATGAGGCTCTGGGGAATGTCTATTGCTAAGACACACACAAAAGAAAGAAAGAAAGAAAGAAAGAAAGAAAGAAAGAAAGAAAGAAAGAAAGAAAGAAAGGGAAAGGAAAGATAACAAAAGAAAATTGTGTATGTTTGCAGAAGGGCTACCTTGTGAAACTTTGTGTGTGAAATGTTTAACTTGGATATTGCCATGACTCAGAAGCAGCTACCAATATTCAACGTGTCATCATTATCCTCCGAATGGAATCTTCTAGATTCCATTAAAGGGTAATGACTATTTAGATCCAGGAATCCCCACTTACAAGAACAAGTGAAGGCCATTAATGCCACATTATGAGTTTTGTATATGATATATTACATATCTTCCCTTGAGTCATCTCTGAGATAAATCTTGGAGAACCCATAATTGATACATTAAAATAAATACTTAAAAACCCAGAGCAGATAAGTTGAAAAGTGAAAGCCTTGTGAATTGTAGGTGGTAACTCTAAAAGCCACCTCCCCCAGCCTTCCTACACATTGCTTTTCTACATACATTTGAGTGGCAATGCAAAGAGTAGCTTTCTAGAATAACTCAAGTTAGATACAAATGCAGAGTGATTGCGAAGATTATTTCCCAGTGCCCTTGTCTGATTGAACTTCAGCTGGTAACAGTGCTAGTCAACTAGTTATCTGCAAATACCTATTTGTTGCACGTTCATGGGAGCCCATGTTTGCCAAAGCAAACTTTATAGAAAGCACATGGCCATGATCTGAGGAGGGAGGTAATGCATACTTTTGCATTTTATGCTCGTTCTTAAGTTTGTCTGTGTTGACTGCATGGAAGTAGCTTGCTTTCTGGATTCTCAAAATGATGCTGTGATACTCACCAGTGACAGCAATAACAAGATGAAGGATGCCATGGCCTACTCATGTGTAGCAGGCTTTCTCTTTGGACTGCCAACCGGCACCCAAATTCGTGACACAGAGACCTATTATTAATTAAGAACTCTTAGCCTTAGCTAAGGCTTGTTTCTAGCTAGTTCTTTCTTTTAGGTTAAATTAACTCATTTCTATTGGTCTGCGCACTGCTCAAGGTTCAGCAACCTACCCTGTGTTGCCTTCCTGTCTCCCCCTCCTCGTCTGGCAGGCTCCTTTTTTGTTGCTTCCTGCCTGCCCCGACTATCCCTCCTGTGCCTACCTACTGGCCATTCGGCTTTTTATTGGACCCATCAGGTCCCTTAGGCAGGTGAGGAAAAACAGCAGCACATCTTTATATAATTAAACAAATTCAGCATAGGCAAAGCAAGCAGTACACCTTTATATGGTTAAACAAATGCAGCATAAACAAATGCAAGGCATATTTGCCTAGAGTTAAGCAGTTATTTTTGCAGCATCAGCAAATGTAATCCACCTTTACTTAGTTAAACAAGCATTCTGTTCCATGACAGGCACACGCACTGGGTACCCGATGGAGCTGAATGGGAGACTCAGTGTTCTTATCTTCAAGTTTCTCCTTCAGTAAGTCAGGGCTGATTTGAATTTAGTTCATGGGCCTAGCAGTTTTCATCTATAACCTTCCAAGCTGCTGGCTACTCCCTCATATAACATATGAACCTCAATGCAAAAACAACTTCAATTATTATTAAATATTTTTTCATGGTGAGGTTAAACTTAATTACACAATTGGCTTTAAGGAAACAGTTTAAAATGAAAACCAAATCACTGCATTGTAAATTGTAGTTTTCTGTGTTGATAAGTGGTCTTCAAAAGAAGGTTTTCACAAATTTCTACCTGTTTTTTTTAGTTGTTGTTGTTTGTTTTTGTTTTGTTTTCGTGCACAGGTTTTTCAATGTTCTGGCAATTGCTTTACCACAGGCATTCATCTACAGCCAAGTTCATCTTTTCGCATAGATTATTGCAGGAGTCCAGAGGACTAGGTTTTATCTGGCTTTGAAGTGGGTATGGGATTGTAGAGCACAGACATATCTCCTTTCTGGTCTCTTCCTAATCTTTCCTCTTCTTTTCCTTTTGATCTGAATTTCCAGTACACAAAACAAAACAAAACAACAAACAGAAACAAGGATGGCAAGTCAGCTTGCCAAGAGGAAGTATTTGGGTGACAATGTCTGAGCCAGTCAAATGTGACATTGGCTTGTCCTTTGCAACCTGTAGGTTTCTCTGCTTTACTTCTCCACATGAAATGCATCGCAATTTCGTTCTGCCTTCCCATGTCACATCTCTATGTATAAACTAGACAACGGGACAGATGCCCTTTTCTGGAGCCCATTTAATCCCCTTGGTGTTTATTTTCAACATCTTATTGCAGAGACTGCTTTACACTGTTAAGCACTATCACAGAGCTTGCATGCCTCCTCAGAGAGCCTCTGAAGGTCTTTTGATGGTCAAGAACTTCTCTGTGGTTAAGGGTGTGCTCAGCAAATGCTTGTCACTGCATTTCGTTCCTTTAGAAACAGAAAACCCCATGCAACTGTTCTGAAGGTATGTCACGAGATCAAATTAAAAGCTAATAATTTTACAGTATTTATGAGCATAATTACTTATTATAAGTTGATTGGCATGTGGGCCATTTTCCAATTACAGTAATAAAGCTCATGGAATACATTAATAGGCTTGTCAGTCAATTCAAGAACTAAATAAATGCCATAAAATGTTAATCCTACTTAAGGTACATTTCTTCTCGATGAACAGAAATAAACGGATGGGCATAGGCTCTCAGGCTTACCGGGACAGTTTGGAAGGATATGCTCTTTCCCAAATGATTTGTTGTAACTTCATTCACCAAGGTAAAGAAACTGAGCAACTGAAGCTAGAAGGCTTCCATTGCCTCTGTCACACACCTGTGAACAAACAAAGCTCGTTTTCACTAGGCAGCCTTGTAGTTAGGGGATCTAGATTTAAAACACAGTTTTAGAAAGGCGCTTAGCAATGAATTCAGCAATTCCCTAGAAAACCACCCTCACCCCTGTTATACAAAGAGAAGACTATGCATGCTAAAAAAGGACACTCAAAGAAATTCTATGTTATGTGGGCATTTATGGAATTTGATCGCCCAACACAGTCCTCATACATAATTACGTTCCTCCCTACCATAATGTATCTGAAAGAACAACTTATGTTGGCTCAAGATTTCAGAGACAGCAGACCACCATGGTGGGAAGTATGTGATGCATTAAAGGCAAATGTTTCCTTAACTCCTCTGGTTCCTACATTTCTTCCTCCTCTCTTCCACTGGGTTTCCTGGGCTCCTAGGGCAGGGACCCAATGGACATCTCCAGTTTGAGCTCTCTCTTCACCCAATGTTTGTCTGTGGGTCTTTGCATCTATTTCCATCAGCTGCAAGTGGCTGCCTGTTTCTCCAAACTTTTCTAAATCCTCCTTACTAAACAGTTTATACAACTTCTAAAGTGAAGAAATGATACCACTCCTGGAGCCAATTTTCCACATTAATGACTCGTTTCAATGACCAAAGAAAAGCTTGTGGGGGAATTACTTGAATTTTCAGTTTCAAAGGTTGATCAGTCTCACTGTGAGGGGTGTCTTGGTAGAACAAAACCATTCCCATCAATGGAATTCAAGGACACAGAGGACAAGGTTTGAGACAGGTTCCAGGATAAGATGCACACCACCAGGACACACCCAGTTACTCACATTCACCAAGCAAGTCCCATCATCTCCCAAGAATTTCACAATGTTATAAATAATCGATACATTGAGCCATCCAATCAGAGCCCTCATGATCTGATCATCACTAAAAAATAAAAATAAAAGTACCATGCATCTGTTTCACCCAATCACCTGTGGGCTTGTCAGTCTGCTCAAACTTTCCAATAATATTAACAATCACCCTTTCAGGGACATATAGTCTAGGTGTCTTCTTGAAAACACATTAACCCTATGTTACTTGATATGAGGCAATTCTGATGGGCTTCTCTGATTTCTTGGTGGAATGTGGTCAGCAGACAGCACTTGATGATAAGCACTTTTGAGGTAAGTTTCCAGTCCACAGTCATCTGGGCCTCCTTAGAAAACCTAGGAGTCAATTCCTGGTTTAAGGCAGTGGGTACAATATATTTTGCTTGCAGAGCACTATGAGATAACTCTCCTGTCAGTGTCATTTCAGAGCTCTTTCTGAAGCAGCTGGCCGCTGTCCTGTGCACACAGCAGCTCTAGTTCCTGTCTCTGCCGTTCTGTTTTTTTCTTTTTGTCACCATGGTCAGGTGCAAGGGTCTTCCCATTAGATACCATGGGCTCTCTCTTCTTTCAGAGATTTTTACACCAAGATCCAAAACTACAATAATGGCAGGCCTCTGCTTGGCTGAGACAATGTCTTGAAAACACCTTTTGTAAAGTGGAAAGATAGAAAACTCAAATAGCATGTATTATTAAGACTTCTATTACAGAAGGGAATTTGAGTGGCTTATAAAGAGGTGTTCATGCTTCCGAAACAAAGAGAAGAAAGAGGACCAAGATAAAGAAAGTGAGAGTGAGGGGTAGTCAGAGGTGACCCTACATCATAAAACATCAGAGTTCTATAAAATATTTAGCCCTGAAATTCCTAGCAGTCAATACAGGGAGGAAGACAAGACCAGTTATTCATTTCATGGTCCATAAGGTTTAACACTTTCTTGGTGCCCTGATCCTGTTATTCAGTGAGAAAGCAGCATCTCAGAGAATCTTCTAGTCTATGGTGGTCAGGACCATCCTAGCAGTAATCAACATTGCATGTACAGTGTCAGCCCCTGGGCCTTTCATCGCAGGGAAGTAAAAAATTAAACAAGCAAATCCAATAAAATACAATTATAATCACACATAGATACCTTTTGGTTATCTTCTTAATCCAGAAGCAAATCTTAGAAACTAATGATGTCCAGGTGACCTTCCAGCGGCTCCCATATCTCAGTGATTCTTTCATGTATTAAGCGCAGGTGTCTTAAAATCATACTTAACCACTGAGCATCAGAACAGAATTACCATGTGAGGACATGGATAAAAACACATATTGCTTAGAGAAAAGTCCTTCTTAACTCAATGCAAATGACCCTTTGTGAATGTTGAAAGCTTGCACACCTGGAAGAGTGACAGCACTTTTTTGTTCTCGGTTGGATAGATACATAAAGAGCAAACCAGGGACCACCTTCCGCAGTAGACTCAAATGGGAAGGGACTCCCTGGCACTCACACAGTAGCTGTAAACACTGGATGCATTAGGAGGACAAGGCATGCTGTCCTCTGCAGCAGCCAATATCTCAAACTTTTCTACAACTAACAAGAAGACACAGATAAAACTTGTCAGCATGAGGAAAAATACTAGAGATCCTACATTCATGGCTGGCACTTACACAGCCTCACTCTGAAGTTTCATGTTTATACAATGGGATAAAGGACATTCATGCCCAGGAGCCCAGGTTTGGCTATAACCTGACACAAAGAAATGGAAAGTATTCCCAAAAGAAGACAATATTTTCAGTATAAAAGCACATAGTCAAATAGCTGAAAAAGAATTAATTACTTCATAACTTTGTTGAACGCAATCTCTTTAACCCCAGATATTTTTACATTTAAGCAATGTGACCTCAGGGCATGCCCCAAAGATCAAGTAGCTACATAATAGACCCAAGACAAAGACGTTTTTGTGGATTAACTCCAAGTGAATACTTGGGGATGCATCTGCCATGACACTCTGGTATTTGTATGGAGTTTTCTTTGTACCAGCATGTCTGTGCATTCCCTCTGCCTGTAATGTGATCAAATCATCATACTGACAGTTCAGCAGAAATGATAAGATAGTGGAGTTATATATGACAGCCTACCCACCTCCACTCCAAGGTATTTTGACTCCTAGGAAATATCTAATACTTTGAAATATTTGGAGCTGTGATGTTGGGGTCATGCCTGATACCAATATACCGTTCATAAAATGAAGCTTCACTCACGACACTTTGGGTAAATGTCTTTTAAGTACATTTGTGAACCCTACCTCAGCAGACATTCCCTTAAAAACCCCACAGTTAAGCTCAGGTCTATCTTCCACACTTATGAAGAGCTAGCATTTTTAGGCAATGACATATTGCATAACTACTAAAATTTAAAGCATTTTAGTTGACATTTATGGCTTCCCTTTCACACAACCTACCCTGTGAGAATAGCTATGCTTGTAAGGCAGGTTGCCCAGACCAGCTTCTAAGAAACTTTCTCCTTAATCTCTTCAAATGCATCTACTTCTCTGGAGTTGTTGGTTTAACTTGAACAACTCACCAAAAAAAGTTAATGGAACTATTTTTAGTAAAATCCTTATTTAAACATTGGTTTAAATCCACAAGCTAAATTTTCCTTCTCTTCTAAGTATTATTTCTTTTATGTTTTTGAAAGCAGGATTATTAGGCATTAGTTTTCTATAATTGAGATAAAAGAACAAGATTGAAAGAGAGGATTTATATCAATAGCTGATACGTTTCTTTTACAAAATTTTTCCTCCTCTGTAAATGCAGTGATCATATTTTCCCACTCAACAGCTAGTTTGCACAAAAGCTCTGATATTAGAAAAGCCTTGCTAAAAATCCATAATGTACTGATCACTATGCACCAGTGGCTCTTAACTTACCTAATGCTGTGACCCTTTAGTACATTGCCTCATGTGGGGAGTAACTCCCAGCCATGAAATCACTCCTGCTTGCTATTTCATGACTGCAATTTTGCTGCTGTTATGACTCATAATGAACCCTAAGTATTTTTGGAGATAGAGGTTTGCCAAAGAGATCTCAACCCACAGGTTGAGAACCACTGCCGTACACAAAGTGACCACATGGTGGTGAGACTTCTTATAAGCTTAGCTTTCTGAGGGGCCTGCCACATCTCATCCTGAGTCCTGTAACTGAGTAGGGGCCGAGGAAACTTTGCAGACTTCAAACGGATCCTGAATGGGCAGTGACCAAAAAAAAATTAGTTCTAGAACAAAGTCTGCGATGAATCTATGGCTTGGGGCATCTCTCACCTGTATTGCGTCACGTGAGTCCACTGCTGCCTTTGCTGTGAGCTCACAAACATGCTGAGCCGTCCGCATGCCAATCACACCAGCGCTGCCTGGTGCTTCACAGAGTAAGCACTAAGGCAGTGTATCCCTGCATTGGACTTTGTTGGAATATTTGATTTTAAAGTGCTTGTTACCGTTGCCCAATTAGGCTCCATGTAAGCAGCCATTAAATACATGAACATTAGCTCTCAATTTGGATAAAACCTCCAGACACTTCTGGAATTTTGTAAGTCTAGTGTTGCCGTTTCATCCGACACACCTACGTCTGGAGGGCAATACAGCCACAGAGTTATACTGACAAAAGTGAAGACACTGTACATCTCTGGAGTGTAAAATGTTCAGTTGAAATGTAATCCCTTATGCAGAAAAATAAGCAAGCACACCCACCTCGTCGGAAGTTCTGCTGGTGTCTTTCCTCTCTAGAAGCTTTCCGTCACTCAGCTAGAACGAAGCCACAGCATCTGGTGGTGGGTGCGCAGAAAGAGGAAGACAGAGATGACATCTTTGTTTGTCTAGAGACCAAGGAAAGTTGTGTTGTCGTTTCAGATAACATATATCTCGGAGTACGGTTTGAACATATTTTAAAGTAATTGAACTTGGGATGGAGAAAGAACCCAGGAATTGAAGCGCTTACTTCTCTTATAGAGAACATGGTTCCCCGACCCCACATGGTGACTCACACTGCCTTTAACTCCTATCCCATGCTTCTTCTTCCCCCTCGATGGTCACTGCATGGCCACAGTGAGCACAGACATACCTGCAGGCACACAGTCATGCACATGGAATAAACAAAATCTTTAGTGCATGTAAAAGTAAT